GAAAACAATATTACTATTAACCAACATCAAAGACATGTAAACTAATTTTCAATTATTTTTCCCCCCACTATTACTTCATAATTTTTCATTGTTTTAAATAATACTGTAATTCTAAGTGTAATAAAATTTTTTCGATGGATTCCAAAAGGTCTTTATAATCGAATTGATAAATTTAAATTTTAGATAGTTACTACGTCAGAATAATCCTGGGTTCGATTTCCAGTCTCGGCTTTCCTTTAAAATCAACTCAGTTTCTGTAGCTTTGAGATGAAGAAAAGCTCAGGCAGGCAAAGTTTGCTAGTTATGGTGAAGAGAATTTAATGTTTGCCACACATTCATTATTACTCCCCTCTACACATTCATTATTACTCCCCTTATTATATTAAGTATGAAAAATAAACCAAGCTCAGGCATAGTGGACACCATTAGCTAGCCGACGAAGTAAGACCTTTGACCCAAAATGCCAAATACATACACTACTTCAGGATCCAAATTTTATAATAGAATACAATGAAGAAAAATCCACAAGGTAAAAGGTGACTCATAATTACATTCACAATAATTTATTTTAATTATCAATTTTTAAAACTTTTCAAACATACAGGGGGCCCTTCACAAAATTGCTGTCTAGTCTAGTCTGCTGCTGTCTGGTCTAGCAAGTCTATTTATTAAGACATTTCTGATAGTAAATAAACTATTTTCTTAAAAATGAAAATAAATACATTCATCTATTTAATGCGAGATAGGAAATAATCTCAATGTTAATATTGATAATGTGTTTTGATAAAACAAAAATTTTAGCAGACACGAAAATTAGTTCACTTTATCAAATGATCATTCAAGTAAATGTTCTACAAGTCACAGACAAATAAAAAAGAATTTTTTGCATTAAATGATATCCAAAGAAAACATATAGTTCCCCCCAGAAACACAGATAATATTGTTTAAATTCTTTTAAATGCATTAAGCCTAATTGAATGCTCTATACTTTAAATTTTTTAATAAGTTAATATATTATTTTCCAATTTCCATCAGTTCTTACAACTGTCTATGCATGATTTGATGGGCAATTCATATTCAACTTTCATGTAGACCTACAAGCCAAACAATTTTTCACCTATTAACATCCTTATTTATGTTAATGTCACATACTAGAAGAGAAAGTTGGGAAAGGGCCATGACAAATTAATAAATTTAAAATAATAATGATGTATTAGAATGGGTAAGGCTTAAGAAGGTCTCACATGTGACATACACAGTTAGTTATGTACCAGTATTCTCATTGATGTGGTGATTTTAACACATTAAAACTCAAAATTAGGCAGAAACTACTAATATTGTAATATATGTGCATGGAATTATTTTAAAATCTAACATTGAGGAATAGAATATCTTTCTGTCTCATTTGGTAGGGATTTTGAAGATTGCTTTTCATTTACTGTTTCACTTTGAGTGTTTGTGGTTAAGGCTTCTGTACTAATTTTGTTGTGAATTTCATTAAAATACTTTTCTATGTATCGAGTTATTACAGGCATTAGTTCTTTCACTACTAATGAAGGCAAATTTGTAATTTAGTAACTGCTTCTATGTATGTAATATTTCCTTTATTTTCAGGATACACAAGTTTTTTTGCTTCAGAATATCTGATCTGTCTGGCATTTACTTGTTGTATTGCTGTCTCCTGATCACATATTGGGCAGTCCCTTGACCTTGATGAATGCTGTCCGCTGCAATAATGCATTTGATAGGATCTATGCTGATGCATGGATCATCACTATGAAATGGCTTACCACAATGACATACTTTGATTCTCACACATCTAGATGCTGTGAGTCCAAAATGTAAGCATTGAAAACACTGCATTTGTTGAGGAATAAACATTCGTATTGTTAGACGATGAATGTCGGCTTTAATCTTCTCTGCTAACAGACAATGCTTGAACGTCAGGGCATGGGACGCTGAAGGAATTATCTGCCTATCCCACCTCATTTTTAGCCTACGACAGGCAATGACTCCTTGAGAAGCTAGACCTTGAACTATTTCCTCTTCACTGCAGTTTAGCAAGTCATTACAAACTACAAACCTTTGCAGGTATTCTGCGTGCCATGAGCACTTACTTCAACATCTATAGTGCATATTTTGTTCAATTCTAGTAACTTTTTGCCTTGATTGTCATTGAACGTTTCTATCAAGAGTCCAGATGGAGTTTTCTGTATGTCTTTCACAGCAGATACAGCACAGGTGCTAATACTCTTCTCTATTAGAAATTGGTTCACTTTATCAAAATTTCCTTCAGTTTTTTTAAATTTAAGATACCGCTGCGGTGTTCTTGAACAAGTCATCATAGTTTATTGTTCTTCCAATTTTCATTCTTTTTGCATTGAATTCAGGTATTTTTTCTGGACAAGGATTTTTAAGAGATCCCTCAACACTAGGATCGCAAACTTCCATACGAGTCCCGCGAAGCTTGCTATCACTCGTAGCAGTATCTGCCAGCGGTGCCGAGTGATCCGCACCCCTGGCATTGCAGTCGCTGGGCTTCTTTGTACGTGGGCAAACTTCCGTTTTGCAGATTGTTTTTCCATTGCACCCGCCCATACTGGTGCAGCGTACAGCAGTCGTGAGTGTACCGCACAGGATAACAGCCTCCTTTTGTCTTCTCTAGAGCGTCCGATGTTCGGTATTATTCTGGAGAGATTCCCTCCGGTTTTCAATGCCTAATCCGCAATCGTATTAATATGTGGCCCAAGGTTGAGTCTAAGATCAATCTCGACTCCGAGGCAGGTTATCTATTGTTTCCATTCTATTTGGGTTTCCCCCACTCGAATAATTGGTATTCGGAAGATTCCCCTATCCGTGAACAGTACCGCTTCAGTTTTCTCTCCTGCCACCTGAAGGAGTTCGTTATCTAGCCATCTTTTAACTCTAGAGAGGATTTCATTTATTCTCATCTCTAACAGGTCGATATTGTTTCCATGACTTAGATTACCATATAATCTGCATACCCGATGAGTTGTGTATCTCTTGGTAATTAAATTCTAAGTAGGGCATCGTACATAATATTTCATAACAGGTCCCAGTCTAGATCCCTGAGGGACTCCGCATATCACCTCTTTTTCTTTCCCGCCTGCCCCCAAGTACACTATCTTCCTCTCTTGCAAGTAGTCTTCTATCATTCTTATAAGATATTCAAGTACCTTCTTATCAATCAATGCTTCCATGATATCCCTCCATCTTGCAGAGTTAAAGGCATTCCCTTCCCTTCTTAATATAAAATCCCTTCTTGCTATTTTTTCCTCTTCTGGCTGCTTCCGCGATTCGCACTACCCCGAGGACGGCGTCCGTTGTCGAGCGCTCTTTCCGGAATCCATACTGCCTAGGTGAGATATTTGACCCCTCCGATCGTTGTTTCTGCAGTCTTCAACAGCTCATTGATCCCGTCAAGATCAGGTGCTTTCCCGTTTTTTGTGCTCTTAATTGCAATCCACATTTCCTCCTCCGTGAAGGGTTCTGTTTTCCGACAAGGATTTCTGACTCTGCCTTCTCCACTTGCCCCGAGTAGGGAACAGGTTCCTTATCGCTTTATTAATCCATTGTGGGTAGTCCATCTATGGGATCTTCTGGTCTATTCCAATTTTTTCATTACAATTTTATATGCTTTACCACATGGATCCTTGTCTACCTCCTCCGTGAGCTCTTTACAGCATCTAGCTGTGCTTTCATTAATTGCATTATGAAGCCGCTTACGCGAGATTTTGTAATGTTCTCTGAGTTGAGGATCTGTCCTGGCTCTGGTCGCCAATCTCTACTTGAAACAATTTGGCGGAGTTCAGCTATCTGCGGTTTCCACCAATAAAGTTGAGTTTTACCCCTAGGTCCTCTGCGCCTAGGCATTGAATCATTGCACGCCGAGGTCACGGTTTCCGTGCCTTCCTTGGCAATTTCTCGAGGGTATCCGGCCTTGTCCATCCTAAGGACTTTTTTGCCTTGCTTAGGTTTAGCTTCTTGATATTCCATACTGCCATGCTTTGATTCTATCTCTTATGGGTACTGGCCCCTTCTTGGTTATGATTGAAAACCAATATATCTAGGATACAGAATTGTAATGTATACAGAAATTAATTTTTGCATTCAAAACTCCTTTGAAGTTTACTTATGATGTGAAACATCTCAAAACATTCATCTGGCTGAAGCTTACTTGCCAGGACAAAGAATGACAAGAATAAGTGTGGCAAAACATTTTTTATCTGATAGATGGTCTGTTGAAATACAAATGCTATTTCCGATTTATGATACTACCTCATTGTTAGATAGAGGTCTTATCTAGAAAATGAAGGAAATCCGCTGTCATCTCTGAGATACCCTCTGACTGGGCCACAGAATGGATGCTGTCATCTGAGAGATGCACCCTGACCTGTAGGGAGAGCCACCTTCCTGAAAGCTCTGAGCTGATAGCCCTTGATAACATGCCATCTTTAAGATGCCTTCTAATATGTAGGATGTTCATGTTACCAATAATTTCCGATCGCAAAGGGTTAACTAAACTCTGCTATATTGAAGAAAAAAATTGACCTTTTTTGAGAAAATCTTGTTTTTGTATAACTTTTGATCAACATTTTGTGCAAACCACTCATATTTTAAGAAATTGTACATGACCTTATTTAAAGATATTCATTTGATGTACAAATTACATTAAGAAAAATATACAAAAATTCTAAAATGTTGTCAAAAATGTCTTTAGGCTTCATGTAAAGTATCCCCATAAATTAAATGGTATGTTTTAAATTACCATGGCCTTGAGTGCAACCAGATCAATTGGAAAATCCCCATTTTGGAAAAAATCCTCTGTATGGTTTAGGAACTAATGTGCTAAATCTCTAGGCAGATGGAAGATTTGGAAAAAATACCTTTTCTTTATCAGGGCTCTAAAAACTAATTTGGCTATTAGGTTTTTGAGAAAATATTCTACTACTTTTAGAAGAAAGAAAGAATAATCAATTTTTTGATAATATCAGAAACCCACAATACATGTTTTCTGTCAAAATATCAGCACTCTTTCATGTAGGCTTCATCATATTTATTTAAAAGGACAATAAAATTCCAAAAAGAAATGATCGCTAGTGATAAAGGCAGAAACAAAAAGAAAAAACATATAGAAAAATACTTACATTATACTGTAAGTACAAATTTCTAAATATTAAGAATACAAACATACTCAAACTATATTTAAATCTAAATTTTCAAACCGTTTCTGTCATTTTTGATGCATTAGTCAACAATAAATTTAAGATTCAATCATGTTCTATGTATTTACTTATTAGTACTTATACTACATGACACAGAGAGAAATCTTTAAGTAAACAATTGTCTATTTGGAAAGGTTTTGAAATAAATCTTCAATTTTCCAAGACAATTTTAAGAAGTTAAATAAAAATTAAACATATTTTATGAACACAGTGTTTCAAAAACCTGCCTTAAAATCTCAACTTGTTAACTTACAACAATAACAATATACAATTTTAAAAACAATAACAATATTATTATATAATAATAACAAAGTTTTCCATTTGTGCAAAATACTTATTCTTACTTGTTGATTGAGAAGTGATTCTTTGATCATGTTCTTATTAACAACAGAACTCTCTTTACATTCCATGGCTTTTTCCTCTACACATAAAGTTTCTATCTCACAGCTACAAGAGTACTTGACTGTTTCAAGAAATGATATCTCAGATATTCTCTTAGTGCAAAGATGAAGGAAGAGGTTATAATTATACAGGCATTAAAACTTCTTTTGAATTTACACATTACAAAACATAGTTCTCACAAGTTTCCTCTTGCAGCTTGTTCAATTTCAATGGCTTCAAACAGTGCCTTAAAATTTCCAGCTCCAAAACCCTGCAATAATAAATTTAATTATAATTGTATATTCCAATATGAAAATTTATTAATAGAATTGGTTAATAGGCAAAATTAACTACATAAACAATGTTTCCTTTCTATACATTTGTAAAGAATAATCATATCCTGGAGAAAAAATGGTAAGTAGTTTAAAATACAAGAAAGTTTCTATCCAATTTGCCAATATTGCTGTTTCAAGACAGCTCTCTTTTTTGGCTTCTACATGACAATATAACATAACAAAAACACAGTGGCAAAGCTAGGTTCTAGATTATCTGATGCAAAAATTTGGAATAGGGCCCTATCAGCGCAGTGTGAAGTTAAGAGTTTTAAATCTAAATTGCAATGTAGAAAATAAGCCTAGATTGCAATTTGTTTTTGGTTTTTGTTGATCCTTATCTTTGAGGATTCTTAATCAAATCCCTGTTTCGGGAGGCCCAGTGCATGTAAGAGCATCCCATTTTTAAAATGAGATTTTTTAAATAAAATTTTTACTTACATTATGGTTATGTCTCTGGATAACTTCCAAGAACAATGTTGGTCGATCCTGCATGTTTTTGGTGAAAATTTGTAAAAGATATCCATTTTCGTCATAATCCACTAAAATTTTCAGTTTCTGCAAGAGAAGATCATACCTTTGTGAGATAATCCATTTTGAATGCATTTATTTTCAACATGCTACCTATTCTTAATTTGGTGGATATACCCAAATTACATAAAGTATATAAAAAATGTTAAAAAAATATTCTTCATATGATAATTTCATGATTGTTCTGTGATTGGATACACATTTTTTATTAGCAAAATATTAAAATAATCTAAAAATTAAACCATTATTAAAGTTGTACATTTTTTTAAAACAATAATTCACTATCCATTCATTACCCCAATTTTACTTCAATCATACAATTTTTATATTTCATTCTTGAAAAATTACTTTCAATAAAAGGCTTATGTAATTTTAATAAATAAAAGCATTTAGAAAATGATAAAAATTATTATAATTTCTATTAATTTAATACTCACTTGTAAAACATCCATATCTTCCGATATATTTATTTTATCATTTTTTAAACGTTCACGGAGCATGTCATAGTAGGAATCAGGGACAGATAAAAACTCCATACCTCTTGCTCTGAGGTTTTGGATCTGAAAAATTAATATTAAAAAAGTCTTTATGGTGAAAACAAATTTTGGTAGCAAAGAGAGTGCAATTTGACAATGAATTTGGTTGAATAAGTCAAGTTTGACAAGAACCCCTATTTGTATATCAAAAGGCAAGGAAATTGTAAATGTCCTAGCCTGATAAAGAGAGGCTTAAAATTCTAATGTTCATTTTGTTTTTCTTTATTATTACATTATTATTATTATATCAGGTATAGTCTGGAGTTACAAACAAGAAAAACACAACCTGAAGCCCATTACAAAATTGTCGTAAAATAATGTTTTTAGATGCAATAAACTGGGATGTCAAAGCACAATACGATGACTACTACTACTACTATTACTACTATTACGACTACTACTACTATTACGACTACTTTTACTATTACGACTACTTTTACTATTACGACAACTACTAATACTACGACTACTACTAATACTATGACTACAACTAATACTACGACTACTACTAATACTACGACTACTACTAATACTACGACTACTACTAATACTACGACTACAACTAATACTACGACTACTACTAATACTATGACTACTACTAATACTACGACTACTACTACGACGACGACTATTACTATTACGATGACGTATTATGTCGAGGGCTACTACTATTATGATGACGTTACTACTACGACTGCTACAACTACTCCTACTACCACTACCACTAATAATAATCATCATGATAGTAAAATATTTATAATTACATCCATTCACTTTGCTTACAATTCATGAGTAAATTTTGGAAATAGTGTTAATTTAGTGAAAAAAACAATAAATTCTGTTATTGATTACTTATCACCATAAATTATGTAGGTGTAATGTATAAGTTTGCTTAGGAAAATAGGTTTATTCACCGATCCAATGATATCTTGAGTATTCAGTGCAATATGCTGTACTCCTGCACCTCCATAGTAATCAACATATTCCTGAATCTGACTCTTCTTCTTTCCAGGAGCTGGTTCATTAATTGGCATCTAATACAACAAATTACAAATTTCAGTGTGTTAAATAGATGTCATTTTGTTCTGTCTAAAGTAAAAAATATAAGAGCAATACCAAGAACATATACATAACATTGTAAGTTTAGAAACAGGAATAAATAAATTCTAATGAAAGTTAGTAATATAGAGTAACTTCATAGTGGTTTTAATTTTTATATTATATTTTTAGAATATAATAATGTATATTACCCTTGAATATCAGTAAAAGTTAAAGAAAGAATAAACTTACACCATGCCAAAATCACCCTGTTACTAAATTAAAATAAAATATTCCATTGGAACTGGTTAATTTTGGAATGGTGTTAAAACAAAACTGGAATATTGAGTAGAAATAATAATTGTAAGCTGTAATGTATTATTTGAACTTAATTTATATAACTTGAAGCAAAAGATTTCTTTTAATTATTACCTTACATATATGGTAACTACTTGTTTAAAACTACGTATGTCTTATAAACCTACTGATCAATATAACATTTATAAAAGTTATATATAGTTTTAAGCATCCATTTAAGTATGATACACTTGTTTTTTTCATCCTTCTTCAATGTATACAAATACAACAAAAGTACACATGCATAAACACCAATCATATAGCCATGAATGTTTCCCTTCCCAATCCCTATACATATGACAGAGATAAAAGATAAAATAATGAGACCTTATCATTTAAGCTACTTTTCTACCAATAAAATATAGGCATACCTTTATAGTTTCTTCATAATTAGTCATCACTATTGACCGCAATGCAGAGTATTCTGTGTGAATTTGAGAATCATCAACTGACCAAAATCTATGAAACATTAAATACTTCTCATACCTAGGAAAAAGTGAAGGAAAAAACGCATTTTAAGCCTTTACATTATGATTTTAGAAAAATAATACATTTAAAATTAAGAATGAGATTAAGATAAAAACAAATGTGAAGAAAGTGGTAGGTCATCAATGATGATATCATAATGAACTACAGTTGAACCACATTACATGGGGTTTCAAAGAACAAAACTTTTATTGTCTCTTAAAGAGTTATCTCAATTATTTAAGCACAAAAAGTGATCAACTTTACTTTGAGAGGAATTCACTAATGCAGATTCAGATCAAAGTTACAAAGTAAAATTCTCAACGAAAATATATTTTTATAAGAAACTTTATTTATAACTTTATTTACAACATGCTATATATAGCATTTTATTGATCAATGTAAAGTGCAAGTAAAAAACTAGAAGTGTGAATTTTTGCACATTAAATTCTTTACAAAGTTCTTCATGTATTTTGTCTTTATCATATTCACACAGTATCTTTAATTTTTCACTTTCTGACAATTTTACTTTTAATTTTGCTTCAAAATTTGCAGCATGTGTGCAATGGATTGAAGAACTTGCAGAATCATCGAATAATTTTAGAAAGTGCTATTTTGGGAGAAACCAAAGATTGAAATTTTTGTATATTATTTTATCATTAAACAAAGTTTTACATTTCCCTAATACATATATTTTTGTTTAAAAAATGTCAAGATGTCATAATTCGTTTTACTAAAAGAGGTTTCTCACTTATCAAGGTTTGACTATATCAATTAACTCTACACTAGATCAAAGTAATGAGAGCAAGGCAAATTTTATTTTCTCTTACCAGTCAGCAGCTGTTTCCATTTCACGGTCTGGCTGATTTCCAACAACATGATCGATGAAATCTAATTTTCCAGAAGGTCTGAAAGTATAAAACACATATTTTTTCCTTGCTTAATAATGACTTTGACTTCAATTATTTATTGATTCAAGAAAAATACTTACAAACTGCTGCTTAAAACATCTGGTATAGTAATCTCTCTGAAATTTGGTAGAAAAAAACCCTTGTACTTTGTTCTATCAACGAATGTGTGAGTGGTATCACCATACTGCAAAATAAAAATTGTCCATAAAAAATCCATGTAAAATAAACTTAGCAACATCTGAATATAAAGGAAATTGATACAGCACAATGTAACTGATAACTTACAGTTTGCACCTGAGCAAACCTTACTGTTCCACAGGCATCTGACTCTTCATATATATCTCTCACAATTTTTGCACCTCGTTCCTTTGCTCTCTAATAAAATAAATAAATGTGTTAAATCATTTCAATTGTAAACTTGTACATTAACAGAAAAAAATGCATAAATATCTCAATTGTGTAAGTTTGCAATTATGTACCTCAAAGATTAGTTTAAGTAAGTCTCACCTTCACAATAGTGTCCAAATCTTCTACTGCAAATGCAATATCTTTCACTCCATCACCATGGCGAATTAGATGAGCTCCCATTTCTTTGTTATTGGGTTCATAAGTGGATACAAATACGAAAACAATCTGAAAAAATTAAAGGAATTAATTAAAGAAGTGCAGTACTACATCAAAAAATGAACTGGTATTCAATAAAACTGAAATGCAATTAAACTGCTGGTCTAATACAATGATAAGATTAACTCAGAGATGCAGTGAGTTCATTATATTCATCATAATAAATTTTATTATGAAAAAAATATTTTAAAACAAAAATATAATTAATTTTCCCAACTGCTGTAAATGTTATTAAAACTACAGTACTAATGACGCAGTTGGTAACTGTGAGTAAGGTTTAGGATTGCAATATTCTCTATTATATCTGTGAAAATGAGTAGGGCTTATACCTTCTTATTTTTATTTATTTTTTCATTGTACCTTATTTTGGCGTACTGCATGGGCAGCTTCCCTCCTACAACCAGTTTCAAGACCTTTGTATGCAAAAGGTTCAAATCCCATTCGAGAACAATAGTAACTTGCAGCCTAAAATAAAAATATATCCAACACATTTTAGGTATTAACGGATTTAGTTTTAGTTTGATTGTATAGATATACTCGGTAAGAAGGAATATGGTTCATTAAATAATTAAAGACGTTGTCATTGCCAAATATATTATTTAATGCAATAGCAGCTTTCGATGGCTTAGCCATCATCATCAGTTGTCTTAAGTTAAGACAACTGATGATGATGGCTAAGCCATCAAAAGTTGCTATTGCATTAAATAATATATTTGGCAATGACGTCTTTAATTATTTTATGAAAAATGCCAAAGATATCACACCACAACACCTATATGGTTCATTAATTTAGTAACGTGGGGGTTTGAAAATTCTTAAATTGTTAAATGTTACAAAGAAAAATCATAATTTCCTACCTGTTTTGCATTTCCAACCCAAAACGTCAGGTGATCAAAATTTAGAAATCTTCCACCATTTGGCTGAAAAATAAAATAAACTATTTGATTAGAAAGAAAAATGTACACAAGAAATAACTCACTAAAACAGCAATAATTGAATTTCTCTAGAATGTTAACAAAGAGTAAATAAAAATTATAGGGTAAATATCAAATGTGTGAAAAAAAATGTTAGAAATTTGTACATAGCGACTCAGAGTAAATGTAATAAACTTCTAGGGGGTGTAGAGGGATCAAATATTACCACGTTTTGCAAATGAGCATGCAGAGGAATATTTTATATAACACGTGACATTTGTCCTTGATTACTTTGCAACGTGTTATACACAATATGTCTGGGTGGAAGACAAATAAATCAAGTAATGATAAAGACACAAAAGTCGTTGCTTTTTGCGAACGTTAAAGAAATGTAAACGCAAATGAGTTGGCACATATATTTCTTGTCTACGTGCCCACGTTTCTACGTCTAAGTGCCTTGTTAGGGCCTAACTAAACTTACTCACGAAGCAAATGTAGAAAGAATTCAAAAGAAATTCATCAAGTATAGGGATACGAGTATAGAAATGTCAACGTATTCACTACTCATTGGAGCGACGATGTCTTGCGGGTTGCATATGGAAGATCGGCGAACAAAAAATTATGTAGGCTACAGCATCCAAAATCGATTGTTTTATGATAATTCAATTGATTAGATTTCGAGAACATCACTAGCTTAGTGTGGTGCCAGCGGATGTTATTATTATTTTTTTTTTACTTTCTCACAAAGTTGTTCCGTAGAATAGAGAAAGAAGTGTAATGCTGCAAAAAACAAGGTGATATATTACAACTTTCTCGCATTATTACTAAATTTTGCTATTTACGAAAATTCAGAATTCAATGAAAATGAGACCTACATCATATTTAAAGGCCCAAGAAGCTCTCTATCTGAGGAGAAATGGTGATGAAATACATTTGGAGCTGTGTTTGAGTTTTTTTTAAATTGCAAGAAATTAAAGGGAATTAATTAAGCAGGAATTAAGTGAAAACTGCTCGTGTTTTCACAAAATTGTACATGACCTGATTTAAATGTACATATTCTAAAACATATTTTATTTAAGACATAAAACTCTATCAGGAATATTTTACTTTTGCTATGTTAATGTTTCGCAATTTTCGAAAATACATGCCAAAAAAGGGATCAGCATAAGTTTTTTAACGACCTTTGTTACATATGAGGGAAAAAATTGCCTAAGTAGAAATGCCACGGAAAATTTGCGCGAAAACTACTCATATTGTTAATGACCTTATTTCAAGATATGTCGTTGAAGAATAGATTTCATAAAGAAACAATTTCTATATCCAATATCGCAGTGCAGGACATCGCCGAACAAATTTCGAATTTTTGAAAATTCAGGGATTTCAAGGATAATGAAACCTGTGCCATTCTTTTAAATCCTTTACGCTGCAAGAGAACAAAATTTAAAAATTTGGAGCAGTTGTATAGAAAAGTTTGAAAATGTTAAAGCCGTATAGTACCCAAAGTACAGTATCCCCAAAATTTTAAACTGGTGTTGTCCTGAGTTCGTTCAGATCAAACGGGGAATATCATTTTCGGAGAAAATCGACTTAACGGTTTAGGCGCTATTATTGACAACTGAGAGACGTTTTCAGAATTTCCCAGAACATCTTCTCATTGGTTGGCGAAGTTTTGGGGTGTAAGAAACGCAGTTTTGGATTGTCTACTTTTTATTGACATATCAGCTTAAATATATTAAGTTATAGTGCCTAATGCTCTACGATTGGTAATGAGTTTTCCAAATAATGGCTGAGATATGTCAATATGGTCTAAAATTGGGCGTTATAATTTTACGTAACTATTACTAATGCGAGGAAGTTCACTGTTGTAGGGCCACTATTTTTTTGTGTTAGGGAAGTTCATCATAATAAAAAAAATTATATGAAAAAAATTAAAGGACTCACACAAAGTGCAGTCACCTTGCTCGTACATCATTGGGCGTAGAAAGTTTTATGGAAAAGAATCGATCACTTATTTAAAATGTTTCGTTCCAAAATTAGGTGACGTTATCGTCAGTCGATAAATAATGTCGATGATAGAGGAGAAAATAATAGCACACATGTTCTGCCAATGAACTTGCCTTAAAAGCCTTCAATTTTTTTCTTTTGGACTATTGTAGAATAATCTGGCTAAGAATTTGATTCCATTCGACTAATCGATTCGTTGTAGCGAAAGGATTGGAATAAGCTATTGATCATTTATCTGAGTGCGTTTCTTCTCCCCCAAACACGAGTTTTATATGCATAAATAATTGTTTTAGGAGAAATCTCTTAGAAAGTTCGGGGATGGTCTGCGACAGATTTGTCCCGACAAGGGGACTAGTGAAGTGATTTAAGCCTGAGTAATAGGACTCATGGACACGCACAGATTACACGATTAGGAAATATAGGACAACATTACAGGACTCTTAAGTGAAGACAGAATTAAATTTCAGTGTTGGCTTCTTTTTACTTTCTCGTATATGTAGTTATGAAGTAAAAAGAAAGTTTCGCAATGCTTCAAAAATCGATGAAGATATTTTTCCACTTTTTCACCGTCCCTGTGTTTCCATTGCTCTGCATTTCATTTAAATTTGGCGCCTAGCCTCAAATCATCATCATCATCATCATCGTCGTCGTCGTCTTTATCATCACCGTCGTCTCCATCGTCGTTGTCTTTATCATCATCGTCGTCGGCTTCGTCTTCATCGTCGTCGGCTTCGTCTTCATCGTCGTCGGCTTCGTCTTCATCGTCGTCGACTTCGTCTTCATCGTCGTCGACTTCGTCGTCGTCGTCTTCGTCGTCGTCGTCTTCGTCGTCGTAGTCTTCGTCGTCGTAGTCTTCGTCGTCGTAGTCTTCGTCGTCGTAGTCTTCGTCGTCGTAGTCTTCGTCGTCTTCATCGTCATCATCATCGTCTTCATCGTCGTCATCATCGTCTTCATCGTCGTCATCGTCTTCTTCGTCATCGTCTTCATTGTCGTCATCATCATCTTCTTCATCATCATCATCATCATATCATCATCTTCATCTCCTTCTTACTCTTCTTCGTCTTCATCTTCATCTTCGTCATCTTTTTCTAAAAGGATTAGGCTTCAACCTGACACGGTGAAAGCGTCTAAAATATGTAGGATCATATTTTTATACATATACGTACACACTTTGATACATTTTGTTGATGCTCATAACCGTCGCATTTAAAACGAATATTCTATTTTTTTGGAGAACAGTACATTAAGTCTTCAGAACATTTTCAAATTGTTCTCAAAAATGGTTACACGTTTTTTCTTTTAAGGTTTTTACTCGAACAAAGATAAAAATATGGTTATAAGATGATGATGTCCAATTTTCAATTCAAGATCTGAAATTTCAAAAAATTGCAAAAGTTTTAATTTTATTGGACCATTTTCTAAAATTGCATAAAAATATTTTTTCGCGTTGAAATCTGTTCCTGAAAATTAACTTTAAATAATGTTTTATACAATTTTATGAAAATATGAGTAGGTTTCGCTTAATAATGAGTGAAAATACGTTTTAAAAATACGTTCACCAAACTTTTCACAATCGGCTTCAAATATTGGTCTGTACATTTTTCACTCAAATATATCAAATAATACGGAGATAGGTCCTATTTTCATTAATCGTCCGGAATTTCAAAAACAGCGAAAGTTCATACATGTTGCATTATGCTGACGACAATTAATTCTAAATTTGTACTTAAAAAACATTTAAACAAGTTTTTAATCGATATATTTCATGTTCCTAACTTTCTATACCCAAAATTCGACGAGCCGGGCAACTGTAATATTTTTTAATTCTTTTTATTATTAACTTGCAAATCACAAACACAACACGAAAATATCCACTAGAGCATATTAATTAGCTCCAAGATAATTGAATCACTTGACATGAAAATTTGAAGTGAAATCGACAAGTCAACATCGGGCTCTCTGCACTTTAGTTAAACTAGTTAAACTCTAGTTAAACGCATAGTATCTATAAGTAATATATACACTGTAGTAAACATACCTTTGGCCCCTTATCAGTGTACGTAGTCTGAAACAAGAAAGGAAAGAAAAGGTCACAATCTTTTCATTTTAGATTGCATATTAATGTACTTCATGAATATTATCTAGTGAATGAGTTATACCAGGGTCTCCTGAAATGGTAACAAATAAGTAGGTAGTGAATTCATAGGACAATATTCAGGAGTAAGCGAACTAGCGCGCTCCGTGCGTGTTTTTTTACGTCTGTAGGGAGGGGGAGAGGGGGAAGAAGAATGTGTGTGCGCGTCTGATGTAGAGAGTGAGAGTGAGAGTGAGCGATTGTGAATGAATCGGCCAGTCAATGAGCAAACGTTTGATTGAATGAATCTGTGGACATATGAATTACTGTTGAATGAATGAATCTGTATAATATTTGTTTAATTCTGTATCACCACGTTTTTAAAATATTAGTAATTTTTGCACAATTGTTAATAAAATATGGAAAATATTAAAACCAAAAACGGCTCCAATTTTTTCCTTAAACTTTTTCCACGGGTAGGGCTAAATACACTGAACTACAAGAAATAAATGCCATTTTGATTTTTCAAAAATTACACAAATGCAATTTAAAAAATATCTCTCACGTAGGTAATACAATATTGCATTTGTGAGTACAAGTGCTTCAAATTATTTCTTGTAAAGTTTCTCGAAAACTCAAAATTTTTTAGAGAAATTTAATTCAAAACTGTACATTTTCAGAAACACTCAAACGACATTTTTTTTAAAAAAAGCAAATTTTTCTACAAAAATGAACAAGTAGAACTATAATTTACTCTTATTTGATTTTTATAATCACCATTTCATTTCTACTATTAGGGGATAGAAAGCTTAAGAAAATGTGGAAGAAAGGGTATTTTAGGCGCCGGTAGGTTGCGGCTGGGAAGAAAGTGGGGAAAAACCGAAAAGATAGCGCCGACTGAAGAGATTAGGAAACTAACTAGAACGATAATGTCTGTGTCATTATTGCACCACTAGTTTGAAATGAGTTGATCCTTTTCCTGTTAGGGCTTTCGAAGTTTTGAACAGAGACATAGCGTGATAAAATGAAATGGGCAGTTAGCCCGATCAAAGGCAGATTCTTTTCACAATAGTGATCTCCAAAGGCACAACAAGGCACAACTTAAGGTGGGCTATCCTTCTAGTATTTTGTGAATTCCCTTGGTTAAGAAAAATGATGCATAATATGTTGCATGTTACAAACATTTTAAAATATTTGTATTACTCTAATAACTATTTTAAATAAGGGGAAATTTATGAAAAGATAATTATAAAATAAAGAATAATATAGAGGCCCCCTTTCTAACCTACAAAATGTATCTTTCTCAAAAGCTTCACTTGTGGCTCCGTAACGATGGAACGAGTCAAGCGCTGTTAGCAACGTAGACAACTCTCTAATATTATAATCACTGGGCTGTAATAGTTCGCTTCAAGAGATTCGCACAGTGCTTGTTAGGTTCAAAGAAAAAGAATATGTGTACTATAAGAGGTCACACAGTACATTATCCTCATCAAATCATCATGAATTTGTATTGTTAATTTATTGTCAATATTATTGGGTCACCAATTATTGCCCATTAATATGTATATTGTAATGATAAATGGTGGTGTATTTTTTCAGTATATGAAATTCATTACACATAAATTGAGCGAGAAAAGGTTCTGGAGAAAAATAAAGCTTATCTTGGAGGTGCAGATATCAGTTCAGAGTGTCTCTTACTTTTAAAATTGCCATGTTTTCAAAGATGAATGAAACAATTATAAAAATGAAAATAAGAAAACGAAACACACTTTCTTTCCCCTTCGTGAGTACTACACCATTCTTCTACAAAAATACAAGCGGCTGCCACAAATTCACGAGCGATGTACTTATCGCAAAATTGCAAGATTCAACAAAACACCATTAACACCAAAATCTGACGTCGCAGACCTCCGGGGCCGAATAGACGAACGGCATTGCCACTGGTCACTCCGCGATGACGCAGAATCCGCTTTTCCTGGAGGGGCGAGCTATGATCTGCTTCCCCGCCATTGTATACCAATAAACATCAAGGTTCCTTAAGGTTCGCACATTTTCCGTAAGACTTTCTGCGCTTTACTACTTACTTGAAAGTGAAATTAAAAGCTTCTTCGCCAAGAAATGGAAGCATTTTATTTAAAAACGGTGGGAGTCAAATTTTTCGTTCTGTATTACAAGAGTAGCGATACGAATATAGACAGAGACGGCAACTCGAGAACATCTCGTGTGGCTCCCAGTAGTAAAGCTGGCTTTGTTATTTAGGTCGCGTATGGCCGATTTATTATCATAAGAGCCAATAATGGCCAAGAGCACGACAAAACTATGATCCTTATTATAATATTGAAATATGAAACATAAGCAGACGAAATGATAACGAAAATAAACTATTTCTGCGATGTAAAAAATACTTTAAAATTTTTTTTACAGATATATGAACGAATATAAAAAATAATGGGGGGGAACACTTCCTTCAGAGTTCCCAAACACGTCTACTTATGCATTAATCCACCCCTGGCACCGCATCGTGAAGAAAATATGCAACGTCTTTTCTTTCCGATTCAATTCGTGTTTGTGGGCCCAGTTGTCTATCAAACCGGGTTGCGGGATATGTGGTATAATTCGTTTGCACTAAATTGAAACTTTATCGTTTCTCCGACGATCACGCTCTTTTCTGGAGGATTAGATTTTGGAATCTTATTTCAGTAAGTTTGGTCTTCTGTTAATTTTGTGTACATTATCTGCTTTGAAATGAAGAAAATTCTTTCGTTTACCTGAACACTGCATTCAGTAATTTGAGTGTAACCTTCAAAAATTCTAATTAAAGCACTTTTTTGCATTGTTTTTCATGTAAGTTTCAAGGGTATCAAATTTTCTTTCAAGTTTCTTTCAATAAAATTAATCAGAATCGGTTTCGATGGTAATTTCCGAGACAGCTGGAGTTATTCCAGCTAGAGCTATTGAAGTATTTTTACGTCTAGCTGGAGCTATCTTGTCTATGCACTTAAACGTTTGTGTTTTAGACCTAAATTTCGTATATTTTAAACACTGTTTAACAAAAGAGTTATGCACTAAAACGTTTTGTAATTCATTCATACTCAGAAATTATAACTCACTATTTCCAAGCATGTTAATATAGTTTGGCTCATTAACGTCAAGTATAATGCGGCACCCCTTTCAACAAAATTATCAATGTATGTCATTTACAAAAATAATTCAGTGAGATTTTTGACAGAAAGCAGAGATATAAGTGAGTTCATGCGAAGTTTTGTAAATAAACTTAAAAATAACAAAATTTTTAAAAGGATCTTTGTGACAAAAGTGTTTGCTGTACCGTTATTTTGAACCACAATGAGAACAGAAAACTATAGCCAGCTAAATATTGTATTTCGGTAGTTTTTACGGGACGGAAGGAGAAAGGGAATAATCTTAAACGCCCTTGATCAAAAAGTGCATCAAATTTTAAAAGGTAGTGTTTGAATGGATGTATTAAAAATGTAGTAAATATATAAAGGTATATTTATAAACACAATTTAAATAAATAATAAAAGGATAGGTTATGGTAAATTAAGAAGGTAAAATATTTTTGATTATTTTTGGAAGACAAAACATGACAAAAGTGATATCTTGATCGGATTATCTTTAGGACCATCTACTTAAATAAATAAAGAAATTATGGCTTACCATGCTAAGGCTGATAGCACAGAACTGGTGGAGCGATGAGAACGAGAGCGACGCCAGTGGAAACGACAACTCGGGGTGTCGAGCGCGATACGCGACATTTTAAATCGCCCTCCCTCCTCCCCCGCCCCGCCCGCTCCGCCCGCTCCGCCCGCTCCGCCCGTTCCGCCCGCTCCGCCCGGTCGGCCGGCGACGCTCCGGAGCGCCGCCGCGGGAGGACGGTCGAGGGGCGCGGCTGCGACGCGCTCTCCCATTGGCCGACGCCCGAAGGATAACGCCTTCGCCTTCGCCTTCGCCTTCGCCTTCGTTTCCGTGCCCGCCGTCCCTGCGAGCCGTGGATGTCCGCTGGCGAGGCGCCAGCTAGCGTGCCCCCGAGCGCGGCGAGGCGCGGCACTTCGCCGCCGTTGCCACCTGCTTCGCGGCCAGTGACGCTTCCATGTTTCTGCCAATGTCGACCGAAGGACTTTTTAGACTAGAAGGACCTCTCTCTAATAACAATAACAATTATTGAGCTGCAGCAGCAAAAATGTTGCTATATTGATTGATTGACAAATTAATTAATTGATTAGTGATTTAGGGCGCGTCGAAGGGTAAGATCGTTATTCCCGTAAGTGTAGTGCATTTTTCTATCGCGGGAGGTGGCGGTGATCCCCTGTTGGATGGCGCGAACCGACCAATGTCGATGTGCAGGGATTTTCCCCCAAGCAGTATCTCCCATCAATGTGGCACCGTTCCAGCCAACAATATATAGGGACAAGCTCTGAGCCCCCGACTGGTCTCCCAACAAGTGCGGTAGTGTGGTGAATGTTAGTGTGCATAAGTAAGTACGGGATGAGAATAGGACAAGAAAGACAAAGGAAAGATCGCGCGTGGTTCGTGGCCTGTTTGTTGGGGTACTGCTTCGACATTCGCCTGATGTTGATATGAGAAATCACGGAAATCTATCGATAAGAGCATTCGACTGCAAGAATTCTGCCCCAGAGCGCGGGGGAATGTGATCTAGCTATGAAGCAAGTGTCGAAAATCCTGCCACCCTCGGGCCTCAAACTCTAGAACCTCCCTGTCAGAGGCACTGCAGTGATATCAGTTGATGCCTTGATGAGGGAAAATGGTGCTAAACAAAACCACGAAAAATAGGTTTCCCAACAGTTTCACGTACACTCTCAAGAGCAATAAATAAAATACTCTTGCATAACTTTACAAAAAATTCAATTTAAAAAAATCTACACAAATACTGCAATAACATACTATTCTATACGCAAATACCCAGTACAATAGATGTTCACATAAATAAAATATCAAAAAAGTTTCTGATCCTTAACGCCATAGCTGAATAGCAACTATTCAGTGGCAGGTGACCTCTTCCTCGGAGCCTTGTTGGCGCAGAATGTCAGATGTCCTTAAGCAATGAGTAAGAGAATTCAGTCGGTACGAGCTGACTACGAAAAAAAAAAAAACACTCATTTCTGTTCACGCACGCTCGTGGCTTACAACCGCCCGCACCGTACCCTCCCCTCTCTGCCCGGCCGCCGGGACGCGCCACCCGTTCCTTCAGCGTCCACCCTTTCTCTTTGTATTGTCCGATTTTCTTTAGAATGGGATGATTTGACAGCTCGTGCTGGCAACACAACTGACAATTCTGTGGGCGTTGTGTCCTTGAACTTATTAGACTCTCCTTCCTCCATTCGTTCGTTTGCAGTTGGCCAACTTGTAAATAGTTACGACGCTCCCTGGCTGTGATGTCCTCGTCCGACGAAAATATAGTGCGCCACGTGAAATAATTGAAATTAGGAAGTGCAGAGCTGTGTGCTCTTCTGTAAAAGTTCTTTCTTTTTATAAAAATTACATTGATTTTAGTTTTTATGTGATAAGTATTATGTTTGTTTTAAAATCGAATCTTGAATGTGAGATGCGTACTCGTGACGGTGCAGGTGTTTACTTCTCTGAAGTACACGTGATGTTCAATTGTTTCGCGAACTGTCACTTTATACCATTCTTAAGAAAAGCGTTCTATATGAGAATACCGTTGTGATCTGTTGATCCGTCTCTTTGACACCCAACGTCGCCGGCCTGCCTCCCTCCGCGCAGCGTGGCGTCCTTCAAAACGCTTGTTTGGCAAGTACGGTTTACGACAGCTCATTTGCGCCTTCCGCGAAGAGCAACTACCTCCAGCCAGCGGCTCGGCCGTAAGTGCACCGCGCGGCCCCGCCCGTTGTCTCAGAGGTTTCGGCAGCCCTTTCCCACGTGGGCACATAGAGCCCCCCCTTTCCATTTTAGACTAGCCCCTCCGCCATGTCTCGCGGTAGCCACCCCCGTGTCAGGGACGGGCTGGTTCTACATATTTGTGTGCACCACCGCGCTCCAGCAGACATGTGACGATAAGACAAGAGCAGACATGACCTGACATACATGAGATGTGAGAGTAGAATGGGCAGTTGAGCGCATCATTCAGGGCTACAGGCTGCCCACATTGCCGTTAGTCAGGGCTAAGGCAGCCCATTTCGGCATTCCCTTAGGGCTAAGGCTGCCCACATCACATCAAATTAGACCACGACATAACGCATTGCCTGGTAATCATGTCCGGGTACTTGGAGCATTCGCTCAGAGGCGCACTGTACGCGTGTTCATCGATCTCTATGCGCAAGTACTAAGCCCCGGCAAGAATCGAGTCGAGCACAGCGCCTTCAAATAGCAGGTAGCTGTTTCTGTCTCCGAGGTGCCGAGCCAAGCAGTTCAAAATTATTCTAAGCAATAGAATACCATTAATTGAATTGAACTGTTCTCATCATCATTAGGAATTGGTCATTGGGTTATGGAACGTTTGGTCATTTTAGTTATGTCAATCAATTTTATAAACTGTTGTTTGTACATTACTAATTATGTTTTAGATTTAGTTTTTTATTCGTAATTCACCGCTCGGGCCCAGCCCGTATTTTTGTATATAGTAGTTTTATAATTGTTTTGTTTTCATTTTCTGTCTTAGATCGTAAATTTTATTTTATTATTTCCAAGAGGCATTATTACTCGTTTTTTATCCTCATTTATTAAATTAATAGTTAAGCTAATATCGCTTCATTTATCATTCGGCCGTTCCTTCATTTCCTCTTACGAGGTGTTCCTCCAGCCCTTTATTTTAGTAGCCCTCTGGCTACATCGTCGAGCTACCGGAGGCCAATATGTGTGTGCGCTATGCGCGCACCCATATAGCCTATAGCCAATAGCAAAACCAACGCTGTTGGCTCATCATCGTGCGTTCAACAACCATTACAGTGACTACCAGGGTCGTTAGTCCCGTAAGTGTAGTATATGTGGAGGTAGGTGTCCGTGACCCGTTTGGTAGGGTACTGCTTCGGTATTTGCCTGCTGTTGATCGGAGAAACCACGGAAAAGGACCGATCGGAGCAGTCGGCCGCTGGAATTCTCCCCCAGCCAGCGACTGAAGTCGACCTATCTGAGATGGTAGTGTCGAAAATCGTGCCACCGTCGGGACCCTAGAGCCTCCCTGTCAGAGGGACTGCAGCGACATCAGTAGATGCCCTGATCCACCTCTCCCGGTCATTGCAGTGGCGATGGATTGACAAACATCATCGTTGTTACCTTTACAGAGCAGAAACGTCTGGCGGGCACACAGTTGTTTTAGAAAGAAAGAATTTCAGGCACCTAATGTGTATTCACCTTGTCCTCCATCTAATCTCCAGACTTGTCTCGAGACACGTGTGGTATTGTAGTGCATTTAAGTCTATGTTTGTGTAAGTAAGGGATGAGGATAGGATAAGGAAAGACTCTCCGAAACCGCCGGAACTTCGGAGAGCAGTGATGCCGCAGGTGGTGACGCCACCGAAACTCGCA